AACACATCCCTAAAGCAGCCCGCCCCCATGCAGCAGCCAAATTATCTGCCCTCCTGAGAAAGGTCGACGATTCTCCTGGAACGACCCAAGCATGGCACAACCTCCTAATGTTTGGCAACATATGTCTAGCCACCCCTGCAAGGAGAGATAAAACCTTAGCTGCCTCAGTCATCAAAGCTATACATGATTTTCCCAGGGAGGACAACCAGGTGCGGCTTCCCACTCGCGCGAGAAACACCCACGGCAGGAAGAGCAACAGTGGCATATCTGAGACATAAAAAATCAGAACATCAGTCACCAAGAAAATAGAAGAAGGAAACACTATTGGCGCAATACGAGTCATCACCAGTGAGGACTCAATTGCAGACAGAGATGCCGCAACAGCTCAAGCCCTAAGGGAGAAACACCCACCCAGGGCTCCGCGTGAGGACGACATTGTACAAGTGGGGGCTACCGGAGCAGAACCTCTCTGGGTGGCTGAATCTGTGGTCCATAAAGCAGCCATGTCCTTCCCTACAGGATCAGCAGGTGGGTTCACAGGACTAAAACCCAACCACCTCAAGCAAATGCTCAACCCTGCACTGGGTGACATTGCAAAGAACCTCTTGGTGGAACTAACCAGATTCACCAACACATGTCTAGCTGGCAACATACCAGCGTCCATAAGACCTATCTTTTTTGGAGCATCTCTCTGTGCTCTAAAGAAAAAGGATGGGGGGATCAGGCCAATAGCTGTGGGCAATTCTCTCCGGCGTCTCGTCGCAAAGGCAGCTGCAAGAACAGTTAGTGATGCAGCGGCCAACATGCTGAAGCCAAAACAGCTCGGGTTTGGCATTCCACAAGGGTGTGAGGCGGCAGCCCATGCAGCTCGAGCCTTCATCGCCAACATCACAGACGAAAAGGCCCTTTTCAAGCTAGATTTCAAAAATGCCTTCAATTTTGGTGCGGAGGGATGCTGTACTCCGTGCGGTTCATAGTCATTTCCCTTCCCTCTACCCTTTTGTACATTCATGCTACAGTATGGATCTTAAGCTACTTTTTGGCGAACATGAAATTGACTCGCGAGAAGGCGTCCAACGGGGTGACCCCCTTGCTCCTCTCCTTTTCTGCTTAGTCATCAAACAAGTCACAGAGGTCCTGTCCAGCGAGCTTAACATCTGGTTCTTGGATGATGGTACCCTAGTGGTTCCCAAGACTCCCTCCTGGAGGACATCAGAAAAATCCAGGAGCAAGGTGCAGTTTTAGGCCTCACCCTGAACCCTTCTAAATGTGAAATAATATGTTCCAACCAGGGCATCGTAGAAAGAATAGAGAGTCTTCTGCCAAATATCCATAAAACTAAACCTGAAGACAGCACACTCCTAGGAGCTCCCCTGGGGTTGAAAGCCATCGATGAGGTCCTTGATAAGAAAATCGCTGACCTTAAGAGGATGGATGGGAGGATTGAGGATATTGATGCTCATGATGCACTCTACCTCATCACCAGATGTCTGTCCCTCCCCAGGTTAACCTACTTTCTGAGGTGTTCACCATCTTACAGTAGCCAAAAACTAAGTGAGTATGACCGGTTACTAAAATCAATGCTAGAAAAAGCCCTTAACCTCTCTCTCGATGACCTACAGTGGAAACAAGCCTCTCTTCCCGTAAGACTTGGGGGCCTCGGAGTTCGAACAGCAACGCAAATCGCTGTTCCAGCCTTCCTGTCCTCCTTATCAGCATCCGACGACCTTGTGAAGGAAATTCTACCTGCCCACTTACATCAGCTGGCAGGTGTACATGATCCCAATTTTACATGCTGTGCCACAGAGTGGGCCTCTCGTGCAGGCCAATCACCTCAACCACCATCCCCAAAAGCCCACAAGCAATCCAGCTGGGATGGCCCCATTGTAGACCAAGTTGCTGCAGAGTGCCTGGGTGCTGCAACAACACAACACGACATCGCTCGCCTCACAGCAGTAGCAGCACCACATGCAGGGAATTTCCTGTTAGCAACCCCAATGTCGGCAACTGGCACGCGTCTCACACCACACGCCCTCCGAATTGCTGTGGCCCTCCGCCTTGCTGCCCCAATCCACACCAGATATAGGTGTATTTGCGGCGAGGTGATGGCTGACAGGTACGGCCACCATGGCCTACTTTGCCAAAGCACAGGGGGATGGCACTCGAGGCACAGTGAAGTTAACGACATCATCAAGAGGAGCCTCACCAGAGAGCCCCGTTACCTAACGCCCCGTAACTCTGATGCTCTTATTGGTCGCCCGGATGGTATCACAGTGAACCCCTGGAAGAATGGCAAGCAGTTGGTATGGGACTACACGTGCGTATCAACCCTGGCTAACACCTACATTAACCTCAGTGTTGCACAACCAGGTGGCGCTGCCACCCACAGGGAAGCAGCCAAATCCCGTAAGTATAGAGAACTGGATCACCACTACAATTTTGTCCCCATTGCTTCTGAGACACTCGGCGCCTGGGGTAAAAGTGCTACCAGTTTTTGAAGGAACTGGGTTCTAGGCTCATTGAAACAACAAGGGACCCGAGAGCTGCAAGCTTTCTTTTCCAGGGCCTCAGTGTGGCGATACAGAGGGGAAATGCGCACTGCATCCAGGGTTCCTGCCCGCCATCTGAGGAGCTGGAGGAACTCGACAACCTATGATAACCATCTTTGTAACCCATATGTAACTCCTTTTTTGTAACAAAGTTCAAATAAAGTAAATATATATGTGTACATACAAAAGAATGGGGGTGGTAGGAGAAGATAATATTAGTGTTCAGTGAGAAACCACAAGGTCTCCTCTGAATACTTTTTATTTTCTTCTCCGAGGCTATGGGTCCCCACATTGGCACCAGAGGTGGTACCCTCACAAACTAAAATATATATATATATATATATATATATATATATATATATATATATATATATATATATATATATATATATATATATATATATATATATATATATATGTCGTACCTAGTAGCCAGAACTCACTTCTCAGCCTACTATGCAAGGCCCGATTTGCCTAATAAGCCAAGTTTTCCTGAATTAATATATTTTCTCTAATTTTTTTCTTATGAAATGATAAAGCTACCCATTTCATTATGTATGAGGTCAATTTTTTTTTATTGGAGGTAAAATTAACGTAGATATATGACCGAACCTAACCAACCCTACCTAACCTAACCTAACCTATCTTTATAGGTTAGGTTAGGTTAGGTAGCCGAAAAAGTTAGGTTAGGTTAGGGTTAGGTAGGTTAGGTAGTCGAAAAAAACAATTATTCATGAAAACTTGGCTTATTAGGCAAATCGGGCCTTGCATAGTAGGCTGAGAAAGTGCGTTCTGGCTACTAGGTACGACATATATATATATATATATATATATATATATAGATATATATATATATATAATATATATATATATATGTATATATATATATATATATATATATATATATATATATATATATATATATATATATATATATATAATATATATATATTATATATATATATATAGCAGCGCCTTAGTGTGCAATCCAGAGAGGAAATGCTCACTGCATCCATGGTTCGTGCCCGCCATCTGAGAGCTGGAGGAGCCTATTCAACTTATGACAAGCAGCCTTGTACCCTGTATGTAATCAATATTGAACTTTTTTTGTGTAATGACATTTTCAAATAAAGTTAGATAAATATACACACTTACAAAAGAATAGGGTTATCTTGAGGTTATCTTGAGATGATTTCGGGCTTTTTAGTGTCCCCGCGGCCCGGTCCTCGACCAGGCCTCCACCCCCAGGAAGCAGCCCTTGACAGCTGACTACACCCAGGTACCTATTTTACTCCGGTGGTAGGAGAAGAAAATATCAAAGTGTTCAGTGAGGATCCAAAAGGTCTTCTCTGAGTACTCTTTATTTTCTTCTCTGAGGCTATGGGTCCCTACATTTGCACCAGAGGTGGTACCCCTTCTAGGTTTTTATATATATATATATATATATATATATATATATATATATATTATATATATATATATATATATATATATAAATATATATATATATATAATATATATAATATATATATATATATATATTCTGTATTTGCTATCTTCTGATTTAGGGTTTCTATCCCTCTAACTATTTGTAACTATTAGAGTGCCGGCGGGATGATGGGGAATTAGCCTCACGTACCATCATCTTTTTCCGGTTGTGATGGTCGAGTGGTTAAGGGGTCCTGTACACCAGTTGCAAAGTGCTCCTGGTAGTATGGGTTTGAGTAACTTGTGGGGTGTGAGTTTCCAGTTGCATATATACCTGGGGACCATTCAGGCTTGTTCGCATTTGTGTTCCTCACGTGGGCCCCAAAGAATCAGGGGATTTGATAAAATACCATGCCCAAGATTACCATCAGAGTGTAGGTGAGATGATGGGGAGTTAGCTGAGGCTACCATCATCTTTTGTCTGGTCGTGATGGTCGAGTGGTTATGGGGTCCTGTACACCAGTTGCAGAGTGCTCCTGGCAGTATGGGTTCGAGTCACTTCTGGGTTTGAGTTTTCAGTTGCATATATGCCTGGGGACCATTCAGTCCCAGATATATGCTGTTACATTTCTACTCTGCTGTTAAATCAATGACCATAATGTCTCCTGTGAGATCTATTTCGGGTATATCTATACGAGGAGGTACAGCAGTTTCTTCTTCTGCGTTGACTATGTCCATAATCGCCTTCTTCTTCATCTGGTGATAGGCTGTTGCTACTCCTTCACCCAACTTATGAGCGTGTACACAATATGTAGGGACCGTTGCAGGTATGACATCGTTCACGGGGTGCACCATCACGAATGTTAGTCCACTTGGTGGTAATATTCCTCCAACTTCTCCATTATGGGAAAATATTTCAATCTCAATATTTCATGATCATATCTCTTCGAATATTGTCCACATCCCATCCCTAGTCTAAAGGGGAAGAAAAAATTATGCGATTAATTTTGCATCCTTCTCTTGTTAGGATGATCCTTTATAGTTGTGGGGGTCTTCATTATACGCTTCCTTGATTTTCTTCATCGTCATGTTTAGTGGTTTAGATGATTTCCCAAAAGTGTGTTGCGTTATTAATCCAATGAGGTGTGGTAGATAAGGATCATCGTCTATTCCACTGCTAAATTTAGGAGGTTCCCCATGCGCAACCTCCCCAGGTATGCCACGATCTCTTCGCTCTGCACGATTTTTGTTGGGTGACTTGGCACGATGAATGCAAGTGTAAGGATAACGCATCCATAAATCTTCCACCACTCCACTCATCATCACACTCGTGGCATCTATATTATAGAAAACACAATTGGAGTAGAAGTACTCAGAAAAAGATAGGTCTCCAGGGACAGTAGTCAACAGCTTTACTGAGAGGTGTGTAGTGGTGGAGTGAGGTTGTGAGCGGCTTTATACTGTCGTGCCTTGGGCTTTATACTGTCGGGCAAAGGTTGCTAGTGAGATTTTTGTTTCACCCTTGTTTCCATAGCGCAGACTGAAACCACTTTGATGTTATAAGGTTTTAAACTCCTCTGCATATTTTGAATAATAGGGAGGTTAGTACATTCCCACTCTGCTTCTCGATGCTGAGCTGACATACCAACTCCCCATGGGAGAATAACTTTTTTTAATTTCCTAGGCATCTTCAATATACATTTCAAGTTCTTCTAAGGATTTTGTAAAGTATATCACCTGGTTTTCTGTCATATCCTCATGCAGGCCTTTAACCATGGAGTAGTCTTTCGATTAGACTAATGGTTTTTCCGATATCATTCTTCTCAATAGGCTTCACTGAGCCATACTAACTTGTATAGGCTACAATGCTGGGACCTTGGCTAACTCTACTGATGTGAATGGTTCCCGGTGTGGGGTGGGTGGGTGCATCGGTGCACCCACCCACCGGTGCACCTTCCTGGGTGCAACGCTTTACATTATACAATTGTGTTCTCGGATAAGGGGTAGCGTACGGATACATATCTGCAATGTCCTGCGACATCCCATAGGGTGAACATGATATACAATTTACTGAGTAAAAGATGAACTAATTCCGATTGTTAAACTCCTCGTCAGTCATGAACCCCTGATGAACTTCTACAGAGTTCATTTTGCTTACAGATTTCATTTTCTCTCAGCAAGATATTGATGAAACGCAGAAGCGTGTTGAGCAGTCCTTAATGAATTAAAAGTGAATTCAGCGCTTTTTATCCACGACCACGTGTGCAAGAGACGCACGTACTCCTGTCATAGTTTCCACATATTGATTAACCACACTCTGAAGGTTAGCATTTTATGTAATTATTATTATTATTATTATTATACCGTTATTATCATTATTTAATATTTCAAGATTATATATTCTCACATGAATGACTTTCTAGTTGTAAGATTACATGTAATACTTTAATGTTAAGCAATGCAGGTGACGTTATGACATCTATTCATCTACTGTTTATATTAACTTTGCGTCTCTCAACAATTTTAGCAATAGTGTTCCTAATGATAACTAGACTGTAATTAGTATATTCCTTCCATCTCGTTCACCATAGAAATTAGTCTGAGGGTGAGGCTGTTTAGCACCTTCTGTCTTTGGTAAACTACATTCACCTTGGCAACGTTTACTACACACACACAGAGTGTAAATTTAATCTATGCAGGTCAGATTTTTTTTTATATGCGCGATTCATACTAAACCATCATTCCTATCAACGGGCTTTAAACTAGTTAGATTACACCTTAAAACAATTACTTAGCTCATACAATGAATATGTAGTGGAGTCTGCCACTCCTCTTGAAGATAAATACCCGAGTCAAGGACTGCCTTTAACAACAGTTACAAGGGTGTGACCTTCATGGAGGAGTTCCGAAGAAGAACATTCTGCAGAATGAAGTGTCTCCGTTGTGAACAGATGAGCACAGACACGGTCGAGGGCTGACCTGTCGATTGGCTTTTCCTTCGCAAACTAGCTAGCGACGGATTTTACTACGCAAAATCCGTCGACTTATGTGTCTGCGCCTTTTGTTACACTCTTATAGGGGGGAGGGTACAGGAGGACACCTCGCGCAGTCGTCATGAGGAGGAGCCACCTCACTGCCAATTCATTGGCGGTAGATGGGCTGAGAACGTCAGCATCGCAGTGACTGATATCGCCTTCGCCTATGGAATGGATTTCACCTATTCCATTATACAACTTGAAAGTGGGAGTAGAGTAGATAACACCCATAAGTAAGCTTCATGAATTGTTTGAGTGTGTGATCTCTCAGGGTCTGAGATTAAATTAGGTGAAAAGTGTGTATACTCATTTGTCTCTGTGAATATGTTAACACTTTGTTAACACGATTACCATTTTATGACTGTGTTTTCTACAGTAGCTATCTTTTCGTGATATGTTTTAAGGATGGGTGAGCATATTATTATTATTATTATTATTATTATTATTATTATTATTATTATTATTATTATTATTATTATTATTATTAA